AGTCTAATTTCTGTGTTTGCTAGTCTCAGTTTTGAGTTCGCCAGTCATATTTTTCAGGTTATTTTTAAGTACTAGACTGATTCCGATTGAGGGCCCTCACTAACCCCTCATCACTAAATAGAGAGGAGACTAAGTCAGTTAACTGACCGTTCAGACAAATGATCTCTACTTTTCGCTCCCCGTTCGTCACACGATTCCGGCATGCTGCCTGCACCATATTTTTTTTCCCTTGCCCCAAAATCAAATGCCATGATGCAAAGCATTGTGTGGTATATCTGCTCATTTAGTGACCGTTGATGTGCACTACTTTTCAAGATGCATTATGGGAAATTTTGAGTGCACTACCTTTTTATCCACTAGACATTTAGACACCCTTTCAAAATAACCAACATATTCTCATTATCAGTTCGTGAGAAATCGTACGAAAAGTTATGCACAGTATTTCGCACGTTTTTGACGTTTTTCCTCGAAAAACCAGATCAGTGCGCATGTGCAGCCAGACAGACGAAAAAAGCAGATCCGCGGACGGACGTAAAACTGGGAAAAACAGTGCAATAATTACTTCTTGAAGTCTCTCACTAGGTTGCTTGCTGTTTTGTATCTTAGGGTTAGGCGTTAGATACTCTCTCGATGACCTTCCCCACCCAGTCCGACGACTAGAGCAGTTGGTTAGGGGATCAAAGCCATTGCGCGGGCCGGCGCACATTCGTTGGTATCTCTCAGATCCATAGCCAAGCCAGTTTGTAGAATTAGGGTTCTGGTCAGGGTTGGTTTTAGGGTCCGGGCACCGGTCAGGGTTAGGGTTAGAGTAACGGTCAAGGTTAGGGTCAAGTAATGGTCAGGGTTAGGGCCACGGTCAAGGTTAGAAAATGTAGTGTAACGGTAGACTGTAACTAAATATTTTGAGGTTACATATTGGTAGGAGTTAGTGTATTATATAAGGGTGGAGCTTTTATAGCTATAGTATGAGATTGGGTGTAAGGGTTTCTTTTAGATAGAACAATGTTTAATACATAGCGTTTCATGGTGAGATCATCATTTAAGGTTTTATTCCAAAAGAAATTAGAGTAGTGTAAGGTTAATCCACTTTGGAGTTTTAAAGAGGATATTATGGTGATTTGTCATGTTAGGACATTATCTCAAAAGTATTACATTTTATTATTAGTTTGTCCAACTTAGGTTTTTAATTAAGGGAAAAGAAAACCTATGTGCTAGGGGAGGAATTGTACATAATTGGTTAGGGTTAGGGTCAGGGTTAATTGTATGTTAAATTCTATGTTATTGAATGGTGCGTAAGATGCGCAAGGATATCTTGTCTCGAGGCAAGATGTAAAAATCCGACGAAATACGACGAAAAAAACATCAAAAACGTACGAAATACTGTGCATAACTTTTCGTACGATTTCATACGAACTGATAATGAGAATACACTGAAATAACGTAACCCCTATTTTGAGCGCTTTACAGAGGTTACGTAATTTTTTAGGGAAGTCAAAATGTTAAGATGCATATTCAACACAGCTCTAGTCCATTTGCTAGTCAGACTATTAAATGCTAGTCTGACTCTAAGTTTGTTAGTCTTACATTTGAGTTATTTTTGAGTTTGGAGGACATTTTGAATTGGCTGTGAAATAATTTATTTACAGTGTTTGCACCCTTCGGCCACCGTAGTCTCTGCTGCAAAGGTGACATGCAGGAAAAACTTTTTTCTTTTCTAAAGGTCTATAAAGATTCTGAAAGTTGTAGAATAAAACACTTCCAAGAAAAGATGTACCTTTGCTGAGACGGATGATGCAATGGAGGGTCAGCTAAGAACAAGGCTGATCCTTGACCCCCTATGATTGCACATGCCTATTAGTGAAATAGATGCAAAAGCTTGCTGTTATGTAAAAAACCCTTATTTGACTGCAGAATTGACTGCATATTCAGACACATGCAACTAATTGATTTTTATTTTTAACATTTTGATTAAATAAAGAGGTTTGGACTATTTTTATACTTTGCAAAGGCCTCCAACTGTTCAACTGAAATGTGTGTGATAGATGGTTTAATGTTGTTTTGTTTTTTTTGTTTGGTTTACCAGTCATTCTCATGCTACACAGCAACCTGCTTCTCTACTCGAGAAAAACCATACATTGCTTTTTATTCTTGTTTTTGCTTCGTTTTACTCCCCAAACTAAACCTTTTACAATACTTTAATAAAGTTATAACCACATACTGTGTTACGTGGAAATTCTGCTTATTAGACCAACACAAATAGAAAAACAAAGTAAAAACACAGTTTTCAAAGTCTTTCCCTAATAGGAATCAGAGAACGGGGGCATGCGTGTATTTAGCTCTGACACCCCTAAAAACTCTGATGTTCTTAGCTTCATTTACACAAGAAAAACGAAGCAAACATGGCATCATTATTACCTCTGTGACTTCTGATGGCTTCCATTTTCTTTTAAGGAATTTCGATTAACAATAATTTATATACTTTAGTTAGGGTTGATCTGTAGGAAGAGATTTTTGGTTGTTACTCCAGAGGTGGATAATAACTAGTTATACTAACTCAGTTATTATCTACTTGAGTAATGTTTAGAAAAAGATGTGCTTTAAGGAGTAGTTGTACTTTACTTGTTTTAAGCAATATTCCTATGAGGGTAATGCTGCTATTGCTTGAGGAAAATTCTGTAATAGCAGCTATTCAGAGATCAGGTAAGTATATAGTTAATGGAAAACACATTTAGTTTATTTTGGGATCAATCACTCATTAATGTTGCTAATCTTTTCATGTGTTTCTGACGGGTTTAAAGATCAGGGTCTAATTTTAAACTCTGACTGTCTGCTGTGATTTGCCTTTAAATCTGGAAGTCCTGATATTTTATGTCTTTATGTGAGGTTTCTGAACTTTTACATTACCTTTAACACCAGCTACTGTTTTTTTATTATTATTTATGTTAATTTTCTTCCTATTTTTTGCTTGTTGCATCTTGTTCAAAATACAATAATGTTCAAATTTCAATACATCATAAAGGCAGTTTGAAGGCATAAAATCTGTGAAAAAGCAAAGTGATTAAGACGTTTCTCAAAGTTTCATTTATGGATTGCATTATTTTTCTCCGTTTTGTAAATTTCCATTTACAAAACATTCTTTTTGTTGCAACAATAATCGATTAAATTCACTCCATAAATGTACTTTTAACACATTTAAATGAAGAAAAGAGGAGAGAATAGTAACATTTTCACTTCATTTCACAGGTTTGCACTTCTTTCTGTTGGACTAACAGAAAATAAAGCAGCAGTTTGTTGTTTAAACGTAACAAATTTATATATAAAAAAAAAAAAAATTACTGGGTGTGAATACTTCTGCATGGCACTGATCTATGGGGTGCCTTTTGTAAACTAAAGCAGTCAAAAATAAGGAGCAATATTCATCTTTATTTAGCATTTTCTAAGAGAAAAATAAGGTCAGGGGGTTATTTTTTTCCAAGTCTTTTAATCACTGTGTCATTCATTTATTTCTAAAAAAATCTTACTTTGTTAAATAAATATTTTCTAAATTAAATATTTAGTATGTTAACTAAATATTTAGCTCCAAACTAAACATTTAGTTTGCAAATTTGATATTTAGTTTTTAAAATAGTTATTTAGTTTGGAGGTAAAGATTTAGTTTGTGAGATAAATATTCAGCTCCAAATAAAATATTTATTTAACAAACCAATTATTTAGTTTGGAGCTAAATATTTATTTAACAATCAAGTTTTTTTACTTTGCAAACTAAATATTTAGCTCCAAAGTAATCAGTTATTTAACAAAGTGAAATGTTTATAACTGAATGAATGACACAGTGATTATATGACTTGGAAAAAAATAACGCCCTTATTTTCACTGAGCCTGGTTCTGCTGGAGGTTTCTTCCAGTTAAAAGGGAGTTTTTCCTCTCCACTGTCGTTACAAGCATGTTTGGTGTGAGGGATTGCCTTCCAGTCAACGAGTCGATGCAATCAACTGGTTTTCCTTAGATAAAACACTTTGAATCAATGTGAATGTATGATCTGATTGAATTGTCTCTGTAAAGTGCCTTGAGATGACGTGTGTTGTGAATCGGTGCTATATAAATAAACTAAATGGAATTTTTCTCTTAAATACGCCTAATAACCATAAATCCATCCATTTCCCATCATGCTTATCCCAAGCGGCGCTGTGGTGCCTACCTCCAGCTGTCTACAGGCAAGAGGCGGGGTTCATTCTGGACAGGTCGCCAGTCCATCGCAGGGCAACACAGAGACAAACAATCATTCACACTAACACCTAAGGAGAATTTAGGGAAGCCAATTAACCTAACAGTCATGCTTTTTGGACTGTGGGAGGAAGCCGGAGTACCTGGAGAGAACCCACGCATGCTCAGGTAGAACATGCAAGCTCCACGCTGAAAGACCCTGTGTCAGGACTCCAGTCTGTGTGTTTGTCTTTTGTGTTGTTCTCCCTTCCACCAGCAGGAGGTGCCCGGTTCTGGTCCGCCTCCTCACACACCTGATGATGATTACCTCGTTACAGAGTGTTCTTAAGCTGCTGACTGCCACTACCTCGACGCCAGAGTGTTTGCCAATACTGGGTACTCTGGCCATGCTTAGTTTAGCAGAGTCTAACCTGAGTTTTTGTTTTGCCAGTTTTGGGTACTCTAGCCAAGCTGAGTTTTAACTTGGTTTTTGTCTTTGCCTCTCGGCAGAAAGTCATCATGCAAACTGGAGCTTTTCGGACCTTCTCTTCCTGAAGGAATCAACTGAGCCTCAAACCAAGCTGGGGATTCAAACTGGAAGTTTGGATCCTGTTTCCTTGAGAGGACGTTGAGTTTACTCTCTGAGCAAGGGAATCATCTCCACTACGACCCGTTCAAGTACAGCAGGAAATCTCAGTGGCAATCAGCTTCTCCGTTCACCAACAACCATCCGAGTTCTGGGTAAACCCTGTTCCGCCCTCCACCGAATCAGAATAATACTGGAAAACCAACACACAGTTTGGAGTCAAAGATCCTACAACTTCTCTGGAAACGTGAGTCAACAACCAAATCCACGATTGAAATTTCCCACTGAGCCTGAACTAATCGTTTGTCTTCCCTTCACCTTCCAGTTCCGGTCGAGCTGAGTTCAGAGCAACTCTGCACCGAGCCTTAACTCTTCAATAAACCTGTTAAACTTTTCCCTGGTCTCTCTGTTTGGTCTTCTGCATTTTGGGTCAGACCTTTAGTAAAATCATGACACCCTGGGCCGGGAATTGAACCCAGCACCTTGTTGCTGAAAGGCAGCTGTGCTACCAAATGCAACACCTGTAAACATAAATATTGCTCCTAATTTTAGACTGCTTAACTTTACAAAAAGCACTCCATACTGATCTTCCCTCATCATGTCTTCCACATGTCCTTTTATGGTTTGATCCCCTTTTTAGTCACACTCATCCCTCAGTTGTCCATATTTCTGGTTTCAGCCGGCGCTATGGGGAAGAGGATGTCACTCTCTAAGGAGAGGTTGCTGCCCAGGCCGGCCATGCGGCTGCGCAGCAGAAAGTGTGTCCTCCTCTGCAGGATCCTCTGCTGCTCCTGCTTCAGCTCCACATAGGACCTGGAGAAGGTGTGAAAGATGGAGGTGACAGGGAACGCCATCAGGAGGATACCGCTCAGGATGCTGCTGAGAGCCACCACCTGACCCGGGATGCTCCTGGGCACCATGTCGCCGTAACCTACTGTTGTCATAGTGATCACAGCCCACCAATAGGTTGCAGGGATGCTTGTGAACTCCTGTGTGGCGGCCATTTCGTTCTCTATCAGGTACAGCAACGGTGAATACAAAGCAATAGCCACGCACAGGAAAAGGAGGAGCAGCCCAAACTCCCTGGTGCAACGCCTCGCCGTCAGGCCGAGGGTCTGAAGGCCCAGCGAATGGCGAGCCAGCCGCATCACGTAGAGGATGCGCAGCGCCCGCAGCACGCGGAGCACCAAGCCCACTTTGTCCAGGTAGCTGCTGCCAGAGCCCAGACGCTTTTCCCCCTTGGACGTGCTGTCCACCAGCAGCGTGATGTAGTAGGGCAGAATGGCCACCACGTCGATCAGGTTGAGAGGCTTCCTGAAGAAGGTGAGTTTGCTGCGGTCCTGGATGAAGCGCAGGGAGAACTCCAAGGAGAACCAGGCCACGCAGACGGTCTCTACGATGAAGATGTTGTAACACATCTTGGAACATGTGCCCTAAAGAAAAAAGCAGAAAGAAAATCCTGCTGTAGTTATTAACAGGCCTCAGCCACTAGAGGGAGCCACATCAACATTAAACCCAGAGCCAAAGCAGCAGTGGATAACATGGAGTTCATATTAAACAGGACTGTGAAGGAAATGTTTCCCGCTTCTTCAGATTTCTTCTGTTTTTCTTACATTTTTGATGATAATCAGCATTTTATGTCAGATAAAGGAACCTTTGTTCGATATAAACAAGCTTTTTAAATACGGTTTTCATTTAGCAGGGCAAAAAGCAGCTTAAAGCAATTTAGCCCTATGATATGATAAAAGAAAAAAGGTTTAAAAAGTTCTTAAAATTTTCTGTCAATAATTCAAAAGCTGTTATACCCTGATAATAATGATTTATTCATTTTAGATCAGGGGTCTTCAACATTTTCCAGGCCAAGGACCCCCAAACTGATGGCAAGATGGAGCAGGGACCCCCTAATTATATATATTGTATGAAATTGTGTTATATCAAACTGGTCCTATAGTTATTCTATTACAGGTGGAGAGATGTAACGAAAGTAATTTCTCCCTGGGATTATTAAATTATTTCTGATTCTGATTCCTCATTGATGGGACAGGTGTTGTGAATGAAATGGTGCCCAGCTTGAAAGAGCTCCTGTGTGTTGCTGAGTGTGTCTAAAGAAATTTAATCCAAATTAACTGTTTGAAAGTCAGAGATTCTTTCAGCAGGGCTGTTTTTTCAAATTTTAAGGTGAAACACGTTTAAAAGAAATCTCTTAGATTGTCAGTAAATAAATCGTTGCTGTATGGTTTAAACATCTCAACATCTGCAGCTTAACACAACAGAGCAACATGAAAGACTGATGAAAATAAGTTTTCACACAGTTTAAATACAGTTTAAATTAGATTGGTTCACTCTAAGTCCAAAAATATGATCAAATCTTTCTTTATCTAAGAGTTTGGGTCAAAACTGACAAAAACCTCCGCTTCATCTGAAGTAAAGTAGCCACAGAGCATGACGCTCATTATGTTCTATCACTGTAACTCTTTTCGATTTTACTACTAAGAGGTTCCAGTTTGTTTGGTTTCCATGTGCCTTTACTCTCCTTTTAGGTTTTGAGAAATTTCTAGCTAAAAATTATTATTTTTTGGCAACTATAATCATTAGTCCAGATGAAGGGAGGAATTAGAGGAGTGCTCTCCCATATTGAACACAATCTGCCAGCTCTATCAGCGCTACTGTCCACCACTTGGCAGCCTCTCCAGCCAATTCCCTTCTGTTTTTGCTTTTATTAACTCTGGGGGAGAAAAAAAAAATCAAATTTTCCTTCAGCATCCTCTTGTGTTTCATATTCTGGTAGATTTTTCTTTCATTATGTCACAAATCGCAATAAAAATTGTTCGTACGTTTCTACTGAACAACAATACTCTGTTGTGGCTGGAGCTAAAAGATGCAAAGAAAATGTTGGGAAGATTAAAAAAGGACAGCTTAACTTCAACATCATTAATAGCAGCTTTAAAACCTGAATGATTAAACTATATCCAGGGCTGGCCCAAGCCTCCATGGGGCCCAAGACAAAATTTATTTTTGGAGGGGCCAAGAGACAATGGCAGAGACAATGGCAGAGACAATGGCAGAGACAATGTCCCTTCACCGGTGAACATCCGGGGAACGGACATTGAGATACTGGACTCTTAAAAGTACCTAGGTGTTCATCTGAATAACAAACTGGACTGGACTCTGAGGAGACTGAGGTCTTTTGGAGTGTAGGGGGCTCCTAAAGACCTTCTATGAATCTGTTGTGGCATCAGCCATCTTCTATGGAGCTGTCTGTTGGAGCAGTGGTTTATCTGTAGCTAAGAGAAAGCGGCTGGATCAGCTGTTCAGGAAGGGCAGCTCTGTGATTGGATGCCCTCTGGACTCAGTGCAGGAGATGGGAAACAAAAGGATCCTAAAGCCGGGCATAAACTGTACGTCCTTCCGTAAAAATTAAAAAAATATCCACTGGACTTGGTTTCCAAGATTTGAAGACGTTTCTCCACCTCTCCAGGAAGCTTTCTCAATTCAAATGTCTGGATCCTCAGTGATTTTGAGTCTTATAAAGCCTTGTATCGCTTGGAAACATGCAAATGGTAACCAATGAATGTATGGTTCTATCGTTAGCCTGTAATACCTGAAACCTGTCTATGATTCTGAGGGTCGGTCGTTAAGGAGGTATTGCTCAGTTAGCCCTGATCCTCTTCCGTAGTATATTGTATTGTATATTATTGTATATTATTTATTCTCCAGGTGCACAGTTTATATTGTTAAAACACTTTACAGGACAGTATTTTATTGTTTATCTTTTAACTCTCCACAATTATGTTATTCTTCCACATTTTTCTAAGGTGCACATTTGTGTGACCATTTTCTCTATAATCTTTTTGCTGCTGTGATTACCAGAATTCCCCCATTGTGGGACAATAAAGGGATTTTCTATTCTGTTCTATTTTATTGTTTACAGTCTCCTATTTGTGCACTAGAAGTTAAAGCTGCAGTCTGTAACATTGAGGAGAGAGCAGACTTCGACTGAAAATTTGAAGAAAAACAGGTTTCACGCCACTCCCCCACCCTCTCTGCTTCACTCATGCCCCACCTCCAAGCTCCACCCCTCTCACAGCATCTGTGACCGCATGCGACCACCGCATGCGACCAGAAGGGGGGGGGCGGGATTCAGTGTGTGTGAGCTGTGATTGACACTCCATCAGACGCTCCTCTGGCTGTGATTGGTTGTTTTGACTCGTCCCGAATTATTCTTTCCAGATTGAAATACAGGCAGTATGCGGGACCAATTGAAGCAGTTTTTTTTCACAGGTTACATATCACATGTACTGCTGTCTGGGCATAGGGACAGTTTTAGCCAATATGACAAAAAAGTGATTTTTTAAAACTTACAGACTTCAGCTTTAAACATGAAAACTAGTACAGTGGGGCAAAAAAGTATTTAGTCAGCCACCAATAGTGCAAGTTCTCCCACTTAAAAAGATGAGAGAGGCCGGTAATTTTCATCATACATATACCTCAACTATAAGAGACAAAATGAGAAAAAAAAATCCAAAAAATCACATTGTCTGATTTTTAAAGAATTTATTTGCAAAATATGGTGGAAAATAAGTATTTGGTCAGTTACAAACAAGCAAGATTTCTGGCTCTTACAGACCTGTAACTTCTTCTGTAAGAGGTTCCTCTGTCCTCCACTCGTTACCTTCATTAATGGCACCTGTTTGAACCCGTTATCAGAGATGGGAAGTAACAAAGTACAAATACTTCGTTACTGTACTCAAGTAGATGTTTCTGATATTTTTACTTTACTTTACTACTTATTTTTATGGGGACTTTTTCCTTCTACTCCTTACATTTTTACACAAATATCTGTACTTTCTACTCCTTACATTTTAAAAAATTGGCTCGTTACTTTAGTTTTGAATCATTTCAATGGAGTTACCGTTATTATTTTTCACGTCATCAATACCAAATTCAATCTAATTGGATGGGAATCTACGTTGCATTTGACGCACCGCTACAAGATGAATCGACAGATTCGGCGGTATTCATTGGCGGCAAATCATTGCAGCTTGGTGGCAGTGGCGTTAGCATAGTAGCATGGACGACGAGATGATTGAAAATGAACACAACGGAGATCTAGTCCTATTGGCAGACATCCATTTAAAATGTAGGCAACGGCATGAAAAAAGTGGTTTCTACTTTTACTTTTATACTTTAAGTAAATTTAAAAGCCTGTACTTTGTTACTTTTACTTGAGTAAAGAAGTTAAATCAGTACTTCCACTTTTACCAGAGTATTTTTTAACACAAGTATCTGTACTTTTACTCAAGTACGGAAAGTGAGTACTTTTGCCATCTCTGAAAACTAGTATGTAGTTTATTCACTGTAAAAGTGTGACGTGGTTTTAATTAGTTGGTTTCAACTCCAAAAACAGTGTGTAAAGATAGCCTAGGACGGACAAATAAAATGGCTAGGATGAATAAAAATGAATAAATAGTAAAAAAACAGACATAACTAAATTATATACACCATAAAAAATACTACTAAAAGTACAGAATGATTAAAGGAATAGTACACCCAAAACATGATTAGCCTTCATTTTCTACTCACCCCCATGCTGAACAACACTCTGGAGTACTTTTTTGATATCTCAAATGCATCTGGAGATCTGGGAGGCTTCTTGCTGTCTGCTGACATTCAAATAATGGAGGTCTACGGTGCCTGAGACAGAAAGGTCCATAAAAGTCCACAAAAAACGTGTCAATATTCCTCCATTCTGCTCGTCCAATGTATTCCAAGTGTCCTGAGTGGGTAGCGTCCAGAATTTACTCGAAACGAAGTCATTTAGAATGTTTTTAGAGCCTAAACAGTAGTGTATAGGATTTCCTAAAAGCGCGTTCACGAGTCTACGGAAACCGCGGCAGACCAAACCAGATGAAAGTGCGCATTCAGCGTCTGCTCTGCCAATAATGCAAGCGTAGAAGAAGAAATGTGCTATTTACCTGTGCAAAGAAAGAAACAACGAAAGAAAAATGTCTGAGGACTTCAGTGTTGAGGAAGAGCATGAGTTCTTTGCCGAGCTGAATGCGCACTTTCATGGACCTTTCTGCCTCGGTCACCATAGACCTCCATTGTTTGAATGTCAGCAGACAGCAAGAAGCCTCCCAGATCTCCAGATGCATTTGAGATATCAAAAAAGTACTCCAAAGTGTTGTTCAGCAAGGGGGTGAGTAGAAAATGAAGGCTAATCATGTTTTGGGTGTACTATTCCCTTAACATGCTTCAATTGAAGATCAATGAGATGAACCAGAAATGTTGGTTTGTTTTTTTGGTTTTATGTTGAGTTTAAAACTGTTTTGAAAACGTTTGGAGGGAAGATTAACGGATCTAAACATTTTATAAGATAACATGATCATGAAAATACTGCAGAACTAAAGGGAATGCTGGTAGAGCTGCAGCCAAAGATGAAAACTCTGCTCTCTGGCAGCCCGGAACCAGAAACAGTCTGTTACAATCAGATTGATGCCACTTTTAATTAAGCTGCCTCGTAGAGACATATTGAGAAAAATGAGGCATGAACACAACAGAAACATGGCGGGTCAAACAGAATCTCTGAATCTGATCAGACAAAGAACCCGTTTATCTATTTTAATTCCTTCTATTAGCTTATTTAATCAACAATGGTTGGTTTAGATGTGTGTGATATGTAGATTTAATAAATTGGTCTACTTCCCATCATTCTATAAAGTTTATTAGATATAAGAATCCAGAAATACTTTTCAGCAGAAGAGTTTTAATATATTTACATTCCTGCTTAGATGTTCTTGTTCTTCATCTGCAGTAGATCTGCACCTTATGGACAAAGGACATTCTTTTGAGGACTAGAATGTTCACATTTGGACAAAGAAGACAGGAAGTTTGTGAGGGACGTGAAGGAAGCCATCTCAGTTAAGAAAGAAAGAACAACCTTAAACAGAGGGGGTGGACTCAGATTTCAGCTTTCAAAAACCTACAATAAAGCAATTGAGTTAATCCTTTACTGCCATCATTGCAGCCCCTACCCCTTAACAGGAGAGCGGAGGGCCACACCTATTCAGCCAGGTCAACAATTCCCTTTAACGACACCCCTTTAAGACACTTAGACAGGTATGGGGCATTGCAGGCCAACAAAAGAAGCCAAACGACCCCCATTCCAAAGGGGTGGACCCCTTTGTCTGTTTCAATTTGCATGTTTTCAAAACAAAAACAAGGTTTTGACAGGCTACAGTTTAAAGCCTGGAACTCAACGCTATTTCTGACATTTTGAATTGAAAAGCTTCCTGGATGGGAAGCAAAACATCTTCAAAGTTAGAAGCAAAGTCCAGTGGATTGTTTTTTAATTTTCTTCTTTGGGAAGACCCCAAAGAAGAAAATTTCTTTTGGGAAGATCTGAAAACCTTCCGTTGAAGTAATTTTTGTTGGTGATAGACGGGCCAAATAAACCAATCAGATCAACGAAGCATATGACGTACTAACAGAGCGACGACGAAAACACAACCACAAGCCAGGCTACTCTTGCCGAAACCAGTCGGAAGAAGAGCAAAAACATATTTTCCTCTGAGAAAAGCCTCCAAAGCAGTGTTTTGCTCTTCCTTCAGTGAAGAAATACTCTGTAATTCCGATAAAAATTGCTCGATAGCCACGCTAACGCTAGTTTCATCGGCTGAAGCCGCCATGTTCTTTAGACTGAACTGTCGCGCTTCTCGTTGCGTCACACCTCAACCCGCCTCAAAGCCAACGCTGATTGGACGTTCGTTTGGTGAACGGCTCCAAATTTTCTTCAACGGAGAGTCTCCAGACTGATCTGCGAGTGAAACCTTGAAAGCTCGCGAGATCAGGATGGTCTCACGAGGCTACCAAATCAACCGACAGTTTCCAAGTTACTATTGATAGTTCCTCCATCTCCCCCTCCCCCCAGGTTAAAAGTCTGGGTGTCATTCTCCATTTTAAAATGCAACTCAAAACTCATCTATTTAAGATTTCATATTCTTAAATATCAATTTCACTGTCACAGCCTCTGTATTTTTAAATGTCTTTATTTTGTTTCAGACACTGTGTTTTTTATGCTTTTTGTATGGTGACCTTGAGTGTCCAGAAATGCGCCTTTTAAATAAAATGTATTATTATTATTATTATTATTATTATATGGAAAAGGCTCTTTTACTCACCGCTTCCTCCTCTTCTCTCATAGCTGGCATGGTGCTGATGGAGAGGTTGATGGCTGTGATGGTAACAAACAACACTGACAAACAAGCAAAGATCTTTCCCGGCAGGCCGGACTGAGGTCTCTCCACCATGTCTCTCAGTTTGCTCATGCACCAGTTGATTCTGGACTCTACTTTGCGCTCCCTGTTCCCGTTCTCACAATCCAACAGATCCTCAAAGAGTTCATCCTCTTCTTCTACTCTCTCCATCGCTTCAAACTCTTCCACGCGCTGCAGCAGGCGCCGGCGGCAGCACCACTCCAGGCTCTCCTCTGGGACACCCCAGTAGAGCAGCTCCTCCCTGAATGAGAGGGCGCACATCTCCCTGAGGGAACGCAGTTTACCCGCCCGCAAGTAAGTCAGGATGGTCCTGAAGGCGCAGGGGCTGCGATCGAAGAAGAACTCGTTGTGTGCAACATCGTAGTCATCACAGAGGCGCATAATCTCATCAAAACTGCTACAAAGATGCAGCTGGCCCAGGCGGGAAAGAGGGAAATCCTCTAAAGTGGTCCAGGGCATCTGGTAGCGCAGGCCACCCACGTTAATGATAGCATGGATCTTCCTAGCGCCGGACAGGGAGGTGCTGTCAGGGACGGCCCTGAGCTCGGGGGCCAGCTGGGCCCTTTTGTAGAAGGCTCCCTTCTGAGCCTCCTCCTCTTGTTGGGGGGGTTGATCGAGGGAGGTATCAGAGGCACAGCTAAGGGCACTGTAGTCGTAGTCGGAGCCATCACCTGCCAACAGGGTCATCTTTACTGTCACGATTACATCCCTGTGCTCAGCTCGGTCTCAGCCTTAAAAATAAAAAAACAGAGTAAAATATGTTACTTTAAGACAGTTTTTAAAAGATAATACAAATGTAATTAATCCAAATTTCCTTTAGCCTGAAAACTATGTTACTAATTGCAGTAAACAATAAATACATGATATTAACATCGTCCACCAACGTTCAGTGATGTTGAACCAGTTGGCCTTCCGTAGATCAGTCCTGTTAGTAGTGAGAACCTTGGCTGAACATTCAGCAAACTGCACAACCAATCAGCTGACGTCATGGCAACGAAGTGCTGATGTACAGTACATTGCCATATTACTTATGTCTCAAAGAGGTGGACTCAATGGCGGGCTGTGGTGGTGGTAGGGGGGAGATTTGAATACGATCAAGTAAAAAACCAGCCCCCCCCCACCCGGTCCGCAAAAATATTGTCTGACATATAGCGGTCCATGGTGCATAAAAGCTTGGGGACCGCTGGTTTTAATGATATTTTTCATACAAAACTAAAGGGATGAATGGGTATTTTCAGGGCTCCTGTCTGTGTGTTTGTTTTTGTGTTTGTCTCCCTTCCACCAACAGGAGGCGCCTTGTTCTGGTCCGCCTTCTCACACACCTGCTGACAGTTACCTCGTTAACGGAGTGCTCTTAAGCTTCTGATTGCCACTACCTCGACACCAGAGTGTTTGCCAGTTTTGGGTACTATAGCCAAGCTGAGTTTTCTCTGAGTCAGATTGAGTTCTTGTGTACCTGAGTTTTAATTTTGTTTTTGTCTTTGTCTCTCGGCAGGAAGTCATCCTGCAAACTGGACTTTTTCGGACTTCCTCTCCCAGGAGGGATCAATTGAGTCTTAAACTGAGCTAGGGATTCAAACAGGAGGTTTGGATCCAGTCTCCTTTGAAGACGTTGAAATTACTCTCTGAGCAAGGGAATCATCTTCACCACGACCCGTTCAAGTACAGCAGGAAATCTGAGTGGCAATCAGCGTCTCCGTTCTCCTACACCGTCCGAGTTCTGGGTAAACCCTGTTCCGCCCTCCACCGAGTCAGACAAACTCTGGAAAACCAACACACAGATTGGAGTCAAAGATCCTTCACTTCTCTGGAAACGTGAGTCAACAACCAGATCCTCTGCTTCAAATCAACCAATCAAATTTCCCACTGAGCCTGAACTAATAGTCTGTCTTCCCCTCATCTTCCAGTTCCGGCTGAGCAGAGTTCAGAGCAACTTTGCACTGAGCTTAACTTCTTCAATAAAATCCGTCAAACTTTTCATCTGTGTCTCTCTGTTTGGATTTCAGCATTTTGGGTCAGACCTTTAGACAAAATCATGACAGGTATTGACTATGGGTATGCTGGTCTGACCGGGTATGCTCATCTGACAGAACAGCAGACCTTTAAAAACCTAAAAAAAACCAATGACATTTACAGGTGATTCCCATCTTTTACACGTGGCTCACATTTCCACATTTCATATTTTAGAAATGTTCTGTTCCATCCAGCAGTTTAGGTCAGAATCCAGAAAGATTGGGAACCTCTGCTCTATAAAATGAATTAGAACAAGGAAAATGGTCCAAACTGGACAAGAAATCGAAACGTGTACATGAATAATGACCTAATTGTAACATAAAATATTACGGCTTTTATTGTAAAATCTCATTCATGTTTGCGCTGAATTAGCCTGACGTAGTCCGACTCAATTCTAGTCAGAATATGAGTCTGATACTGCTCCATAGAGCTGTGATTATGGGGCGTGTTTCGAACGAACCAGGAAAAAAAATGCCTCTGCACTCAATTGGATAGACCTACAACCAATAAGAGCAACGGAGTGCGTGACGTATGTTAAGCGAGGCATAGTTGTTGTCCACAAAAATCAAAGCGTGCAATTGCACGCCTAGAATAAGAAGATGAGACTTGATCGCGTTTCTCTGTTCCTCTTTTAAAATTAATTTGCTGTAGATATCTTCTAGAAAAGACCTAATAGCAGAATCTACTCACCTAAACTCTCCAGCGGCAGCCATTATTGTTGTCACCCAAGCGCACATTGGTCACGTGGTTGATTACGTGACTGTTGGTCATCTGTCCATCATCGTATAAAGCCCGCCCTGACAATTTGATTGGATCGCCTGACAGTGGGCGATAATACTCGCGCTACTATGGAGCAGAGCCAGACCGAACTTCCCGACTTCAAACTTTGTGGGCGGGACTAAGTTCGGAATGGCACCCAGGCTAGCGCTGAATAACAGGGAGACTGAGACCGGCACAGAATGCTATTAAATTCCTCTGTGGGTGCTTGTTTTTAAGTCTACAAACCTTCTGACAGATTTCCCTACTGGCTGTGTTCATTTTCTTTTTTATCAACTTTGATTTATTTGATTTATAGTGTAAATGGCAGCTTTACTGTTTGTTTATTTTAGGCTGAAGACTGGAAGTAAAGAGAAATAAGTTGTTATCTACATGGATTTACTCCTAAAGCTCTGCTCCTGACCTTTAGTAAAAATAATTCAAATGATTTATTTTTCTGGATGTGTTCAGAAAAGAGATGCACACATGCATGCGATGTCCGCCGATATTAGACAGTGGTGGTTGGGGCAGAGTTTGGGAAACTGTGCTCTTGATTTTGTTATGAATGAAACATTATGTAATTTTTTTATTATTATTCCTTTATTTAACCAGGAAAAGTCCCATTGAGATTAACAATCTCTTTTTCAAGGGAGTCCTTGCCAAGACAGCGGCAAAAGATTACATTACAGTTTACAATTACATCTATCTGTCATGAGACGGTGTTTGTTTGGAGGACCCAAATGCAGAGACCAGTAGGCAGAGGTGAATTAAATTGGGTTTATTTAAGTTCACAGATCCAAAGGCAGGAATCAGAGTCCAACAAAAAACTACTAACGCACCTGAACCAAGGAGACATCAGGGGTAAACCAAAACTAGAAGCCAGGGAGAGACGAGGAACACAGACAGAAGTTAGACGAGGATCCAGCAAACAGGAACTGAAGAGGGAGGGCTTTTAAAGGGGACAGAGACAAAGAGAGAGCTAACGAGGGAATTGAAAACAGGTGCAGGCAGACCAGAAAAACAGAGCAAGGGAGGACACAAGAGGGCAGCAGAGGACAACAAATGGAAAACCAAGAAAAACAGGGACAAACAGACCAAGACTCTGACACTATCTATAATTAGAAATTCATAAAACAGTTACAAACCATAGGTCTCATTTCCAAACCTTTGAGCAATCGTTTAAAATGTCCGATTGGAATCAAATCCTTCAAACTTTCAGTCTTTCTGAAGATTGTTCCATGTTGTAGGGGCAGAGTACGGAAAAGCTGTTTATTATTTATTTATTTAAATATACTAATAATCAGGTCAATCTGATAATTAAATGCAAGAAACAGAATTTTCCATCTACAGGGACAGTGTGCCACCAATCTAGCTCCTTTTGAACAGCATGACACCTTATGCTTTCATTAGTAAAAATCAAGTATTGCTCTAAGAAATATGTATTCTGCAAGAGTTTAATAACATCTAATCAGAGCTGAAAGTGTTCCCATAGCTTAGAATGAATTACTTATAAATACATAAGGTGCAGTGCATCCAGTGGGAGATGCCATGTTAAATCAGAGTAGCTGAAAGGGAACACATGTCAGCATCTGAAAATGTGTCAGTGTTGAGTTACAAACAATAAAAAAATGACCGTAGATATTTCTACCTTCAACTTATTGATGCAACGGAGGACCATCTGAACTCTTAAGAGGCAAGAGACACAAACAGAAAAGAAAAAGACTCAATAAATTGGAGAGAATAAAAGTCTACATCAGTGCAGCTTTTACAAGGTTTTTCTTCACAAAGGTCAGACAACAGGCGACCGCAACCTTCTGTCAGCAGCTTTCAGAGAGATTTTTTTCCTCATTTATTTCGGTTGATATGTCAAGGGTGTTTAATTCGTCTCTGTTTTCCCAGTAGAGAGGGCTGGTTTGTTTGTTAGCCTACACTGGATGAGCTCAAATGCAACCTTTATCAGTAGCTGTTAGTTATTTGTAACATAAGTCATACCAGCTAACAAACAAAGGCCTCTTTTAGCACAGCTTCAGAGAAATGTTACACATGTTTGTTTAATTTAGCTGATTTCATATTGATGGGGAAGGTTGATGTGTCCCCTCCATTCAGAAAGAGCAGAAGATCAATCTCCCTCAGAAGGGCCACACACAAAAAACGGGGAGTTTGTGGTGTGTAATTCATTTAGTGCACCACTAGATGGGGGTAAATCCTACACACTGTCCCTTTAATGCATTACATAGTAGATTCATCCATCCACCCATCTTCTAACTAACCTGACTCCACCAGATGGATTTGCTCCGCATATCCATCTGGAAACCTTCCGTTGAAGTAATTTTGGGAAGGGGCGAAAATACTGGTTAGCTGATTGGCCTATGTTGGTGATAGACGGGCCAAATAAACCAGTCAGATCAACAAAGCATATGACGTACTAACAGAGCGATGACGAAAACACAACCACAAGCCAGGCTACTCTTGCCGAAACCAGTCAGGAGAAGAGCAAAAACATCTTTCCTCTGAGAAAAGCCTCCAGAGCAGTGTTTTGCTCTTCTTTCAGTGAAGAAATACTCTGTAATTCCGATAAAACTTGTTCGATAGCCACGCTAACGCTAGTTTGTGCCTCAAAACCAACGCTGATTGGACGTTCGTTTGGTGAACGGCTCCAAATTTTCTTTAACGGAGAGTCTCCAGACTGATCTGCGAGTGAAACCTTGAAAGCTTGCGAGATCAGGATGGTCTCACGAGGCTATCTTCTAACACGTTTAATCTCAAGTGGGGTCGCGAGGGGTGCTGGTGCCTATCTCCAGCTATCAATAGGAGGCAGGGTACACCCTGGACAGGTCGCCAGTCCATCACAGATAGTAGATTCAAGAACTTTAAATAATTTTTTCTGTGCTCTCTGTTTCTTTTTGTTGTCTTAAAGGAAAAGTCCGGTCATATTCAGAATTCAA